CTATGACTTGTCATACCCTAGTCTCTTGTGTGCCAACCCACAAACGTTGTGGTTCAATATTGAACCGAGTGTCGCACAATCCAAGCAATTTCTCTACAGCGTTATGTGAGGACAATTTACGAGTCCCTTTTGGACGAAATGATGGGTACGCCAGCATTAAAACCCGATACATTTTTAAATAGCGGTGAATTGTCTACAGTTGTCAAATAGTTCACGATCACGATTAAGACTTTCGGAGTAATTTTTAGGACTTTGGACTTGAGAATTTCGTGTCATATTGACGAATTATTCTATCAAATATTTAAGATTAACTCACTAGGTATTTATAATTATTCCCTTCTAGTGATAGCATGGGCGAATCCCACCGAATATAGACGCTCATACACACAAACACCATGAAGCATAAATTAATACATATGGGAACTCTTATGGAGTTAAGATATTTGGTTAATAAGAAGGCCTTGTTCTGTGCAGAATGAACTGAGAATAACTTTAAATAATATGAATATTTTACATTTTAGTAGTAAATTAATGCTAATTTGTGCCTAATCTGGAGCACACTGACCTTTTTGTTTCGAAATTTACTATTTCCTTGTTCTCTGAGTTTTCTTCATCTTCATCATTCTTTCACTATACTTGCTTTTCTCAGCTCTCTGCGCGATCAGTTCGTTCGGAACAATCCAGATTTCTCACTCGAATCAAATGTGGCCTTAACGATTGTGCCAACCATAGCACAGCGTCGAGCTCTGGCCAGTCTTTTATGTCCACCAGCAGATCCTTTCAACCCTGAACCGAGTTATCGTGTACCGTTAACGCGAACAGGAGCTAATGTGCAGAGTGTGTTCCAACTCATTTTATGGATCCATCCGAATTAATCAATTTAATTGGTTTTGGGCCCTACGGTTTCTGTCGTATGATAGTCAATTGTTTGCTTTTACTAGTTCCGTTATTCTGCGCATCATGCTAGTCATTATTCTTTATATATAATTTTTCGTAATCTATCGCATTTTTAGGTAAGAAGACCAGGATGATATGACCTATCTTTATCGCAATCTCATTTCATATTATACAATTGGTCTGATCTCGCTTTTGCAATTTATTCGTGTTGTCATAGCGACCTCGAAGAATATTTTTTGCTATGCTTGTCTTGATAATTGCTAGTGTCGGATCGTGAACATGGTACATTCATAGACGTTTCACTGGCA